GCCAGGCTGGGGACACGGGGGTGGCAGGGACTGGGATGAGGGAATAGTGCCAGCCCGGGGACACGGCGGTGGCAGGGACTGGGGCGGCACTGGGGGCACAGTGCCAGGCTCGGGACAAGGGATATTTGGGGTCTCCCAGCCGGGCTGGGGTGCCAGGGACAGGGTGGCACCGGGGTTCCCACCCCGGGGCTGTTGACCCTCCCCTTCCCGGCAGGATTTGGCCCGCTGGACATGACCGTTTGCATCCTGGGCTCCCCCACTGCCTTCCTGCCCGTCCTGCTGGAGGGTGGCACCCGCTGCCCAGGTGGGTACGGTCCCCTTGTCCCCAGCCCTGACCCCACAGTGGGAGGGGTCCCCAAACCCGCCTGTGCTGCGTGACCAGGGCTGGGAAGGAGGGTGGCACCGACCCCCCGTGCCCCACTAACCCCAGTACACACCAGTCCGGCAGCAAACACCCCCTCAGGGTGTCAGGGGTTGCGGGGCCCTCACTGCCCACCCCCTGCCCGCCCCCAGGTGCCATGGTGCTGTGCCTGTCACCCACCTGGGCCAGCCGGGTGCCGTCCGAGTCGTGTCCCGGCGCTTGGTCCCTGCTGCTCTCCCAGGGGGTCTCCTTCAAGGTGGGGGGTCACAGCGCCCTGGAGACCTTCGTGCCCCCCCGCCGTGCCAACTACGTGACGGGCACGTTCGCGCCGTGGGACCCCGAGGGCGGCTGGGCGGCCGAGCTGGCCCGTGACCTCGACTGCCCCACGGGGGGCTCGGCCCCGCTCGCCCGACGCCTCGAGGACCTGCTGGTCACCCGCTGGGTGCTGGCGGCTCGTGCCAAGCTGCCCGTGCCCCCCACGCTGGCCTTCGTCCTGGCGGCTCGGGGGGACCTGCCCGCCGAGCTGGAGGTGCCCGGGGTGAGGCTGGTGCGGCTGCAGGACCCCCAGGGCCAGGACAGCCTGGTGCAGGAGGAGGTGGGCACCTTCCTGGGGGGCACCGCCATGGAGCCCTACAGCCAGGTGGGCACAGGGGAGCACGGGGGGCACCCACAGGGCATGGCAGGGAGGTAGGGGTAAGGGGTATGGGCACAGCAGGGCACAGGGGCACGGTGGGGGCACTTGTGGGTCACACACCAGTAGGGTGTCACTGGTGACAGAGGGTGACAACTGTACCGGGGTGGCGGAGTGGCTGTTGGGGTGGCCCCGGGTGGCACACTGGCACATGTAAGTGATGACCATGGCGTGGGGTGACATGGGGGTACACACAGGTGGTGGGGTGGCTGTTGGTGCGGCACCGGGTGGCACTGGGTGGCATAGGGGTGCTCACAGGTG